ATGCAGACTCCTCAACAGCCGCTTGGGAGGGGGGGATTTCGACCGGGTCAGGAACAAATTGGACGCTGACGGTATCGTCTGACGGTCCTGCTGTTCGTCGCGATTTCCTTCGTGGCGGCATGCTGATTAATAAGGCCTATAAAACTTAGCTAGAGTTAATTCGGACATGTTATAGGCAAAGTCGGGATTAGACAACAAGGAGAATCAAGGGGGGCAGAATGCATTGTACGCTAATTCAAAAATGCAGGATGCCCATTAACCAGCTACAACAATCGTATGTCATCATATGTGATGGGAGAGCGTCAGTCACGGGCCGATCACATAGGTATCTATAAAGACACATGTAAAAGCGTTAATAGCTGGAGTGAATTGGGCACGTCAACGACGGCCGGATTTGGTTGTCACTCAGGCACATAACGCAACAAATTCCAAAGACAATGATTGACATAAATCAGGGATGGGCATCACACAGGAATGCACAGAATCCCAAAGCAACTATTAAATTGCAACAGAAGCACATGGACAGGACATAAAAAGACACCAAAAGCCCACTGAACGCACCTCCTTGGCCAAGGCTATGAACTTGCCAAAAATTAAAACTGGTTGGGCGAGAAATTCCTTATGTTTTTATGCGTTTTAAACAATGCAGTACTGCCCCCCTTACACTCCTGTACAGTTTATGCTGCCCTTCTGTATTTAAGTGGACACCATCGTATGACAAGTATGAACGGGAAGCCCGCCAAAATCCCCGATGCGTCCAATATATGGCAAAGGGGAGCGGTTCTAAGACCCCTTGAAGGTACTGCGCCAGGATTTGTACGTTTGCATTGAACGTCCCAACCGGGTGCCTTTTAACGGTTTGACCAACACAAACTAAACGAACCCCGTACTCATTATGCAGTAAACAGACCAAATCCTCGATGGCAGAGCCAACAGATGCTGGAGAGGACTGACGGCGTGTGAGGTCGTTAGTACCGATTTGTAAAAGTACAACATCAGGTTTAAAACGTTCTACTTCGGTTAAATCAAACCGCCTAACCTTATCGATTGTTCGACCCCCAACGCCATGCCAATGAATTGTAACCGGGGTATTAATGTTTAAATTAAGGTTATATGTGGGACTATTCCTAATAATAAAATCCCGGAGCCTACGTATAAAGGAGTGACCCAAAATCAGAACCCTCGGCTGTTCCATACCGACAAAAAAGAAAAACACAAAAGAACTTGCCTGAAAAATTTGAACAGGTAACTTGCCACACGATGGTGTAGAGGTAGAAAGAGGCCCTCGTATTTGCGCAACGTACTATAAAGCAATGCTCGATCACGTGTTACCTAGTACCCAGTTCACGCAGCCAGTGCTTGATAACAACAGGTATCCCGACGCAAAAATGTAATTATGTTTGGGACATAATTTTTTGTTTTTGCAAGTACAAGTATCTATTTTGTTTCTAGACTATTAATCTGTGGATGAAGAAAGTGAAGTCAGGTAAAGCGAGTTTTTTTCTGCTCTTAAACAATAGGTACAAAGATGCCGGGTAACAATGCAAACGCAATGTGACATTTATGCATGTCTTTCATAAGTGATAAGACTTCTTCTTCAAAGAGCGACTTTTGACGGTCTGTTCTTCTTATAAACCTTTAATTTCTTATAATGTCTCAAGTCATACCCACGCAGGTTTCCACTTCTAATCATCATTTACTAGTCTTTTAAAATTTTCACTTCAATTTGAACATTCTTTCTTTCTTTTTGTCAAAACGGACCAATATACTGAGATACCACTGCTTTGATCAAACTACATAGAATCTTGCTCACCCATATTGGAGTAGGTGTGCAAGTCTTAAATATGAATCAGTTTACTAAACGCCACATGAAGACCAAAGATAAAATTGCTTCATAACATAAACGCTTCTCGTTTATTTATAACATAAAAGAAAACAATACCACCCGACAACTGTTTGCAATATTCAATGATTGATAATCCAAAACACGCACATTCACCTAAGCTCGTCATAGCGGCGGTGCAGCTTAGTGTCTCTTAAACCTCTAAGATGTAATGGGATAGGCCAGTTTCGAATATCAAAATTCACACTTAACTCCGAGGTTAAGGGGAATTGAAACAAAAGAAATGAATAATTTCTTTGAATCGCATTGGCTAATGCTTCAGTGATGTACGAGCTGCTCGTAAGGTGTTCCCTCATTGGTATCAGAAAACAACAACACATTGTTTATCATTATTTCCCATTGTTTCACGGTTAGGGTATCGACCAATTGGATTTTAGGGTTAGGAGAGCTGGTACATCAGTCTCGGGTGCCAAGTATGAATTTTAATAATCTGAACCTGACCTCTTTGCATACGCAGTGATTTATGATAAATCAACCTCGTTCCTAGCGTGCTTGTCAAGTCTCGCTGAAGTACAAGAGCATGATAACGAGGTTACTGATAACTAATTTGTGAGTGGTAAACATATAGCACAAATAATAAATGGTGTAGTTAGAGTGATTTAAGTCAAACGGTTAAATAGATAGTAGAATGCTACGCACTATTATGCATTTAATTCTATTGTCCTCTTGTGTGTATTTGTAGTTATTTTGCACTAGTTGTTATGAACTGTATCACGGAGCCAAGTAAAATCGCTCTAAAAGCCTGGTCACGACTATGCTTGGTTATTGCAATTGGTGCGATATTCAAACATTATTATTGGGGCTTTTTAAGCCTTGCTCGGAACTATAATGATATCATACATTTTGGTTAATTTCATTCCAAACTTGAAGCATTAGAAACCTAATTACCGTACATCCTCGGTCAGAAAGGCTAAATTCGTTACTTGTTTGCCAGTGAATTGGCTTCACGTCAACATCTTATTACGTCGGTAAAGTCGATAAGACATCACACCAATTGCACCTTGCTTGTTATATAAACAGGCAAAATTTAAAAAAAAAACATAAATATGTTTATTTGAGGAAGGACGAAATATTTTGCAATCAATAATATGAAACACACTTCCAAACCAAGCCTCGAACAGTCATGACCTCATGCTTAAACAAACTCAGTTACTTTTGAATAAAATACTGCAGACAATATATAAAACTGAATATATAGCAAAATAAACACACCAATAGTCTGTTCACAACTTTCCTGGTTTCTCATTGTACATGCGTTAATGAGAGGAACGCTGCAAGCCTTATGCTCCTCACACAAACAAATTAAATAAACGTCAAATCATTCAACATGTTCATGGAGTAAACGTTTGAGAAATCAGGGGAGTTTGCACGTGAAAAATGAAACCTGAACGTCTACAAATCATACGCTCTAAGATCAAACGCAGCAAACTACAAAACTGAGGAGTTACATGTTTCAAAACAGTGAGGGAGGGGATAAATTATTTTTTTTAAAAAATCTTTTTTAATTATATGCCTAATTCTGCCTTGTTCAGCAATGCTTAAAAAGGGAACAGCAGTGGCTTACTCTCGCCTCCAGCTCATAAAACAGTGATTTTCCGGAGTATTCAGCTTCATTTCCCCTTTTAAAATCATATTGGTTGAAAAGTGATAATCAAAAGCAGCCCGAATAACAACGGTCGCGCTATAGCCGGTTGATCAAATTAGCAGACGATTAGAGACGCGGCGCACTGGACGAAATTTCTTTGGCTTAGCTGCCATCGATCTATCAAAGGCTTTCGACTGATTTGCTATAATTTACTCCTTGCAAATTTAAAGCATATGGCGTACAAAAGCCAGCCCTTCAATTGATAAGATCATATCTGCATGACAACAAACAATTGCAAAGGGTAATATGTAATGACACGTGCTCTAACTGGTCATGATTCTACGCTCTGGTGTCCTTCAGAGAAGTCTTCTCAATCTCTTATTGTTTAACGTCTTTATGAATAACATGAACCAATCGGTCATCGTCTCCTCACTACACCTCCACGCAGACGACACTACCCAACTGTGCTTCAATGCACTTTAAATAAAGACATAAAAGGTATTTCATCCTGGCTTGACCACAATTATCTTAAGGCCTATGGCGACAAGGTGCAAGAGATATGATCCTTGGAAACTCTTTGTACTATTTTGACATGGAGTTTGATGACATCTCCATCAGTCTCAAAGAACACTTAACTATTCTTGGAGTACACTTAGAATCAGTTTTCTTTCAAATAGCATATAAATGTGTTGGTAAAAAGTATACTCTAAGATAAGATAAGAGCTATTAATATAAGATACATGTAAACAAGATGGGGCTACAATAAGGGCTTACTACTGATCCACTTGTTTGGTGATTTTCAGTTGAGGAGTAAACGGAAAATCAACAGGAAACTTTAATATTTACCAGGCAAAATTTACTCTTGTAACTCCGCAGTTCTCTACAGTTGCATGTCCTTAAAATTCGGTATGACTGAAATCTGAACTTTCTTTCAAAATTATGAAAACAAAACAAAGGACATTGCTACTCACTAGTCAGCCTCGTACGCAAAGTCCCACCCCGCGAGGCCCTTTCAGGGCTTTAAAAAACTACATCACTGCCAAGCGACACCAATGACTTCGTAAACGCTAAATTTCACACCAGAAAGAAACCTCTGCTCGAAGGGAAGCAAACTGAAGTCCTTTTTGTGTTACACACGCATGGTTTCTTTGACATCAAACACTTTTTGCGACCCTGTAAATATAGAAACATTTGATGCATTAACACACGCAAGTTTTTACACTCCTTGAAAGGCTTCCAGTCCAAAAAGACGCTTAATAGTGAAATGTATACCCTGGTTAAGACTCAAGTCCTTAAAAAACAGACCCTGTTCTGCGGCACATACCCGTATAGGCCAAATATGGGAGTGATCCCCCCCGGAACTTTGTGATCGTCAACGTTGTTGAAGTCGTCTCTAATTCTATGCATCTTTATTTCTCAGTAATTTCCTTAATTTTGCAACTTTCGAATTCTCTTCTTAAGATCTTAAAAATATATAGTAAGAAAAAAAAAGAAATATTTCTACTTACGCCTTTAATGATTTGCATCAAACTGAATCGTAACGTCGTCGCCAATGAGCACAAATGGAGCCCAGTACTTTGGGGCAGAAAAGTTTTCCGAGTCCCGGAGACATTTCATGGCCCTCTGAAGAGCATGACTAGCACTTTCGCCGGCTCTCAGGTGTTGGTAGAAACTTTTCATAAACTCGATTGTGGCTTCGTCATCGATGGCCCACAGTGACACCAGCACAGAACGAGCACCTGCAAACAAGAAAGCCCGTGCCATACCGACCACGCCTTCGGAGTTAACTTCTCCTTTACCACTATGGCAACAGCTGAGCACAACCAGCTTCGCTCTCAACTCAGTAGCTTGTATATCAGACATCTTCAAAATATAATCCTCCTCCTCCCTGGGGTTAGGATTCTTTGATTTCCAACCGGGATTTGGAGCCAAGGCAATTTCACCAGTTTCCTTTCTTCCGTGGGCTGCAATGTGAACTAAAGCGACTGACTCTATTCTTTTAAGCACCTCCTGTTTTGTTGCAGCTTCTCCTGTAAGTGGTTGACCGTTTAGGATTTCTCCAATCATCTCCACTTCCATTTTAGCATAATTAAGTTTCTTGTAAATGGGCCTTCCCCGTTTATCTGTAACTTTCTCCAGACTTGGATCTCCAACAAGCAGGACTCCATCTTTAGTGTGGTGATCAGCTGAAGAATCAGTGATCAGCTTCAAAATTCCAAGTGAGGGAACAGTGCGAATCCTCAAAGATTCACTTAGGGCTGCCCATGGAGCTAAAGACAAAGCACCATCAGGGACTACAATAAGTTCATCACAATTGAGCAAGTCTTCGATGGGACCAATAACAACATCATACAGTGGCTGTAACCAGTCAGTTTTCCTGCGTGACGGCTCCAATATTCGATCATCGCCTCGAGTTTTGGGAGCTGGATTGTCGCTTACCTTGTCCAATGACCTATTCTCGCATCTTACATCGACCCCAGCATCAATTTTTTTCAAAGAAGCTTCCAAAAGAGCAGCAAATGAATCTTCATGTACATTTTCCATTGTTAACTTTGCTTGCCTGAATACAGCGTTGCTTTCCTTTCCCAATACCCATAAATTAATTGTTTCATTTTGTATTGCAAGAAAAGTTGTCAAAGTAGATGTCTTTCTTGAAATGTTTGTAACCTCTTCTTCAGGTTTATTGCAACTGTGTGGAAATGATGGGAAGTCATATTTCATTTCCAAGGCGTCTTGCAAGGCTTGTGCTCTTCCTTGCTCAGCAGCGTACAGGGCCTCGTTCGTCTTTTGAAGCATTATAAGAACTTGCCATAAATAGGTGTAGGCATTTTTCGCAACCGTACGGTAACTTATTTTCCAAACATCTTTGGAAATGAGACTGGCTCTAATAGTGTTATGAGTTTCTACGCTCAATCTAAAATTTGCTAAAGCTTCATTCAAAGAATCTAATTTTAAATAAGAGATGCCTAGATTGTAATAGGCACTTGCTTCTCCGGCCCTGTCGCCGACGTCCTTGGCAATGCTAAGGTCTTTCTCGTGGTACTCTATTGCTCGTTGGAAGTCGCCGAGATTTAGATAAGCATTGCCGAGATTGCAATAGGCCTTTCCTTCTCCGGCCCTGTCGCCGACGTCCTTGGCAATGCTAAGGTCTTTCTCGTGGTACTCTATTGCTCGTTGGAAGTCGCCGAGATTTAGATAAGCATTGCCGAGATTGCAATAGGCCTTTCCTTCTCCGGCCCTGTCGCCGACGTCCTTGGCAATGCTAAGGTCTTTCTCGTGGTACTCTATTGCTCGTTGGAAGTCGCCGAGATTTAGATAAGCATTGCCGAGATTGCAATAGGCCTTTCCTTCTCCGGCCCTGTCGCCGACGTCCTTGGCAATGCTAAGGTCTTTCTCGTGGTACTCTATTGCTCGTTGGAAGTCGCCGAGAGAGTCATAAGCATTGCCGAGATTGCCATAGGCCTTTCCTTCTCCGGCCCTGTCGCCGACGTCCTTGGCAATGCTAAGGTCTTTCTCGTGGTACTCTATTGCTCGTTGGAAGTCGCCGAGAGAGTCATAAGCATTGCCGAGATTGCAATAGGCACGTCCTTCTCCGGCCCTGTCGCCGACGTCCTTGGCAATGCTAAGGTCTTTCTGGTGGTACTCTATTGCTCGTTGGAAGTCGCCGAGATTTAGATAAGCATTGCCGAGATTGCAATAGGCCTTTCCTTCTCCGGCCCTGTCGCCGACGTCCTTGGCAATGCTAAGGTCTTTCTCGTGGTACTCTATTGCTCGTTGGAAGTCACCGAGAGAGTCATAAGCATTGCCGAGATTGCCATAGGCACGTCCTTCTCCGGCCCTGTCACCGACGTCCTTGGCAATGCTAAGGTCTTTCTCGTGGTACTCTATTGCTCGTTGGAAGTCGCAGAGAGAGTAATAAGCATTGCCGAGATTGCAATACGCACGTCCTTCTTCAATCCTGCTGTTATTTTGCTGGGCTTCTAAGAGACGCTTCGTATAATTTTCAATTCGCTTTATTATCCTCTGTGTCATTCTTAAATCTTAATATTGCAAATGTGATTTCTTCTTGAAGGTAATAAGCCTATAGAAAAAAAAAATTGTTATGAAAGCAATCATAGAACAAGTAAGAAAATAAGAAAAGAAAAAAGGTTTTTCTTTCATGGAGTAATTAACAATTACATAAATCCCAACAAATATACCCCCCCTTCTCCCCCTTCTCATGCTTAGTGGACAACTTTCAAAGGTGTTCCCAAATATTCCTGTCGGACCTAACCGAAATGGTCTTTTCCATTTTATTTCTAACCGAATTTCTTGAAGTTTAAGCGAAATAGAAAGCGGCCATCATTTTTCTCACACGAATATAAACATCGTCCAAAATTCTGCCTGGACCTATAGCTTTTATTTCCTTTTTATATTTTAACTGTGAAATACATTGTTCGCTTTTGTGATTACCTAGAAAATTATCTCCAGTTGAAAATGTACTAAATTGCTTTTTAGTGGGTATATCTCAGTATGTGTATGCTTCCTTTTTGAAAACGTCACCTCCCAACAGTTTTTATTCGGCCAAGAACTAACTTCAAACTAGCCATTATAAAGACTAGGAGTGAAAGCAATGCTCTTTTTTCTCTTTCCTGGTGGTTTCTTGATGTTGCGGATCATCAAATGACGTCACGTTTACCCTATTGTGTTCTATTCTATTTGTCACCATCATCAAGTTGAAGTCTATTCAAACTTGAAAAATCCTCATTTCGGTAAACGAATGCAAAAATTTCCGTCGATTTGTCAGGACCGACAATTTACTGGCAACTTTTGACTTAACAATGTCAGATTTTAATTTCAACCAGATTTCTACTGCTTAAAAAGCTCATCGACGTCTGAGCTGCTGACGTAAAGTCCACTGTAGCTTTTAAGGAATTGCATTTGACGGACGGGTGTACGGATTGTTCACCGTGATTTCAGCCTTTAAAGTCACTGCAAAGCGACAACAACAATCACGGCTTTCAGGCGAAAGTTATCTAACAAAAATTTGTCCTACTCCTGGTCTTACCCTCCTCTTACCCGTCACTAGAGAATGATTTTGGTCAGTCAGCAATTTTTGATTTTCAAAAAATACAATAGTCAAGAAACGATTTTCATTTAGGAATTGACATGATTAAAAAATACATTGGTATCCTGCAAATACGTTACATACAAAATGTATTGTCAATTCATCAACTTCAGTTTTAACATGAAAAGGAAAAAAAAAACAAATTAATAATGAATACAGCCATGACTTTGTTGACAGGCTGAAAAGTTTAGAATTGAAAAACTTCTTTTATTAATTTCTTTTTTCCAGAAACCAAAATTATTATTATTATTATTATTATTATTATTATTGTTATTTAAGGATAATGATTGCAGATCGGCGCTGCGGAGCGTCGCTCCGTTACAAAACTCGGGCCGATATCATCGTCTTATCCGTGAACAGAAGGTTTTTGTCAGTGCAAAAGCTATCCGGTGCAGTTTGAACATTGTTTAAGGTGGCTCGACTGGATTTTTTGGGGTTGATACCCCCCAAGTTTGAGCATTAACTACGTCGGCATGAGTAAAGATATGGAAAAGCGTTTACTACAATTGTATTATATAAAGGTGAGAATTTCTTATGATCTGGGTTTTATTGCAATCGGAGTCGCCATGGCAACGTAATGACACCATTACGTTTTTCATTTATCGTTGTGTTTCTCTGTACCAGGAGTTTTTTAAAGAAATCGCTTAAGGGAGTATGTACCTGCCATAATTGCCTCCATTATGGCAAAGTTTGAAGAAATTCTATGGGAGCGTTTTCGAAATATTTTGAAATGCAGTTTTAAGAACCATCAAAGCAGTGAAATAGCATGCTAGCCGCAAAATTCGCTAATATTTTAAGAAAATGATAAGCTTTGGAATCGCAGCTTCAACTCATAGTGGTTTGATTCCATTGAAAACTCCATACAAAGAAAGAGGGGAATTGCTCTGGGCGATCGCGAGTAAGAAGAATTTTATTAACTTGCATTCAGCTGCTTTTGATACAGTTTGTTTAGGTAATTTGGTCCATGCCTACAAATTTCGCATTTTTCCAAAAACTGCTTGATAAATTTTTTTATAAATTCGACAATCCCGAGATCAATTGTTAAGAAATATTCCCTGCAAGTTTCAAGAACATTGAAAACAGGGAAGGCTTTTAAATAGGGCCTCTAACGTAACCAATTTTCCCCCAGATTTAGTGTTTACAAGCGAGCGTTCTCATTATTCAGTGGCATTGTTTTCAAGTTTGATATGCACGTGCACAACTAGCAAAAGATATAAATTTGCATAAAAAAGAACTCTCGATTACTTTCCGAAGAAATATCCGGAATATGCTAATAATTGGCTTGTCGTCACAGATAGCAGTGAGAGCCGAAACGGTGAACGCCACGGCTCATCGTGTAGGATGCAATACTTGATTATCTTACTCGGGTTATAACATCACAGAAACTCTCACAAAGAGTAGTTGCTCTGATGTTATATAATGTATCACTAATCTCTTTAGCCGGTAATTAGCATATCTCGGAGAATTAACCGAGGGTTCTTTTTGCTGCATATTCTACCTTTTTGCTAAATATGCACTTGTATATAAAAATTGAAAACAATGCCAGTGAATAATAAGGACGCTCGCTTGTAAACACAAAAACTGGGGGGAAAATTGGCTATATTTGAGGCCCTATTTAAAAGTCTTCCCCGTTTTTAATGTTCTTAAAACTTGCTGGGAATATTTCTTGACGACTGGTCTCGGGATTGTCGAATTTACAAAAAAATTTATCGAGCAGTTTTTGGAAAAATGCGAAATTTGTAGGCATGGACCAAATTACCTCCAAAAACTGTATCAAAAGCATCTGAATGCAAGTTAATAAAATCCTTCTTACTCGCCATCGCTTAGAGCAATTCCCCTCTTTTTTTGTATCCAGTTTTCAATGGAATCAAACCACTACGAGATGAAGCCGCGTTCCCAAAGCTTATCATTTTGTTAAAATATTAGCGCATTGTGCGGCTAGCATGCTATTTCACTGTTTTTATGATTCTTAAAACTGCATTTCATAATGTTTCGAAAACGCTCTCATAGAATTTCTTCAAACTTTGCCATAATGGAGGCAATTATGGCAGGTACATACTCCCTTAAGCGACTTCCTCAAAAAACTCCTGGTACAGAGAAACACAACGATAAATGAAAAACGTAATGGTGTCATAACGTTGCCATGGCGACTCCGATTGTAATAAAACCCTGATCATAAGCAAATTTTCATCCTTATATACTATAGTTGTGGTAAACTTTTTTCCATATCTTTACTCATGCCGACGTAGTTAATGCTCAAACTTGGGGGGTATCAACCCCAAAAAATTCAGTCGAGCCACCTTAAATGTGAGACACTTACAATCGTTTCCTTTTTTCCCTCTCTTTAGCTCCTTCACCTCGGTGAATCAAACTGGAAGTAACAAAGAAAGAAAAATTAAAAAAAGAAATTTTGTTGAAAGATGAGAAATAGTAAGAAAGAATAATTTTCTAGCTTGGATATGTTCTATATTGTTATCTTCTAGTTTTTCCACGGGGGCAGACTTACGCGTTTGCAGCCGAGGAAGCAGTTAATCGCAATCCTTTCGAAACGAAATCGCGATCTTTTTTTTTAAATTTGTTTCGCCCTATGTAAGGGAGTCCAACACAGTCTTAGATTCTGGATTTCACGACGTGGATTCCACCGGGATTCCAGTCATTTTCAGAGGAACTGGTATTCTGCATTCCAATCTTAAGTGAGATTCAGGATTCCTTCAGCTGCATGTATTCCGAATTCCACAAGCCCAATTTCCCGGATTCCGGAATCTCGGATTGCCTTACATGTGACGATTTGTTAAACATTTTTCCATGTTTCTTAGCACACATTCGTCAGTCACGAAACATGACAAAATAATTTTAGAAAATTGTTTGAACTTATATCAACCTAGAGAAGATTTACATTACGCCATCTAGTTGAATTGCGGAGTCTCAACTATTCCATGATCTAGTGGCAATCAGGGCTAGCCCGGCTCATATAATAAAATCAGGCTCAAATTGTTAGTGTGTTTTTATTGAGCCTTGTAGTTAATGTGCTGCATAACTTCTATGAGTTTAAGGCAGAGAATATCGGACGCAGCCTTATATACGACGAGGTTCTGACCTCTATGCTGGTTTGTAAATGACTAACCTGCCTTTACGTTTAACTTCTGGATACTGTGTTCAATTCAGTAAATTGCTTGAAATAATTCAGCCGAGCTCTCCCTAAAAGGATATGTAATTTCTGATTGCTAAAAATGTCTGCAGGTAGTTAACAAGGACTTACATCTTTACACCTAACATCGGAAACCATTCCGACATGCGAAACACCATTTTTACACTAAATTCAAAATCAAACTTATGCAAGCATACACAGTCAGTTTTAAACTGGCCTTAGTTAGAACATAACATTATCGGTAAACAAAATCGTACAAAAAGGGGTTTAAGAGTAGTTGTCAGAGAAAACCGGGCAAAATGTTAAAAATGTCAACGGAAGGGGGTCAACAGAATACGTTCATACTAACATCATAGATAGGTCTGGTGGAGTAATGGACAAATATACCAAACATAGGTTCTTCACTGCTCTTGTATTAGAGATACGAACATCACTTTATTCGACCCCCTCGGACGCCATTTTTATAAGCAAATTTTCACCATTTTCTGAAACTCACAGAACCCTCAAAATTTAACGAGCGAAGTTTATTTTTTGTATGCGATACAACACATCACAGAACTACTTTCTAAAACCATAAGATTTGTTAAGTAGCCACGGACAAGACTAAAATTTTCTTATTTTATCTGACCCAAACTCAGTGTCTGCAAACGAGCAAAAAATCGGGCATTTTGGAATTGACCTAAAGCGCACAACTAAAACGACAGAACAACTCTGACAGCCAAGTTGCAGTCTACTATCATCCATGTAACCAAAACACTAATAATCATTTTGGGCCAT